TGTTACTCATCCATTTGGTAACACGGAAACCTCCCCTTGCACACAGTTCACGCACATCAGTTACAATAGATTTAGCTATGTCTTCATTCTCAACTGATTTCAGCAGGTCATCTACGTAGAAGGATCTGAGGATGACATCGGTTATGAGAGGATTGAACATTTCTCTGTTATCTTCTGCAGTTTGGCGTAGAGCAGCTGTCGAACAACTGGGCGATGATACTGCTCCGAACAAGTGCACACACATGCGATATACTGCAGGTTCTGATTGAAGATCTCCATCTGGCCACCAGTAGAACCTGAGGAAGTCTCTGTCATCTCGTGGGACTCGTACCTGATAGAACATAGATTCTATATCAGCCATTAGGGCCACAGGCTCTTGTCTGAATCGCAGTAATACACCGATGAGGCTGTTGGTTAAGTCAGGGCCTTGAAGCAGTAGATTGTTGAGTGATGTTCCTTGATGTGTAGCTGCACAATCAAACACCACTCGGATCTTGTCTGGTTTGTGAGGGTGATACACACCATGATGAGGAATGAACCATACCTTTCCATCGTCCTGTTTCAGTTCATCATCAGGCACCTTTTCAGCATAGTTCTTTTCCAGAATGATGTTCATGAAGTCTTTGTAGTCGCTGAGAAAGCCATTATTTCTCTTCATCTTCTGTTTCAGATTCATCAGCCTCTGATAGGCTTGGTAGTGATTGTCTGGGAGGCGGACTGAGTCTCTCTTGAATGGAAGGGGTATTGTGTAATGTCCATCATTTAGTGTTATGCTCTCCTTGACTTTCTCCATAAATCTGATATCATTGTGTGATGGCTGGCGTTTGTCGTCGATGACACGTTCTGGGAAGTCATAGTTGATTGACTGTTGGACAAGCTGACCAAGTTTCTTCAACTCTTCTATTTCCTGAATAGCAGTTATATCAGCTCTGTTGACAGTGAAGCAGTTCTGTACATCTGTATGTCTCACAACATTCCACACTACCCATCCCAGTCTGGTAAACGTTGCATGTGGACTTCCTTGAGGTCCTGTCTTGACATGCAGAGGAGAATAGGCATCTGGAACATTGTTGCCTATTAGTATACCTATCTCAGAGTCAATCTGAGGAAGGGAAACACCTCTCAAGTGTGGCCATCCAGAGATATCGGTTTGGGTTGGAATATGCTGATGCGTCACTGGCATTCTATCTTTTGTGTAGAGCTTGGGCAACTGTACAAAGTTCTCTCCTGTCAGATCACTTACTTCCAGGTGGTTGATGCTGTAGGTTATCATAGAGTGTGGGTGTCCCATGGTCTCCAGAGTTATCTTTAATCTTTTACCCTCACATCCTAACTTCTGTTTCATGCTGTCAGTGATGAAGGAAACACTGCTTCCAGGATCCAGAAAGGCATAGGTTCTGATAGCGTGACTACTTCCTTTCCTTCTCAGCATCACAGGAATTATTGCCATGGTACATTCTTCTTCTCCAGCTCCCATACAACTCACTGTGTTGGAACTACTTTCCCTGCTTGTTTTCTGTCCATCATGTCTACTGTCTATTTGAGCCTTAGGCTTGCTGCGGTTGAAATGTAGGACTGTTTGATGACTGAGGCCACAGTTGTTGCAGGATATGGTTGCGTTGCAGTCCAAACTTTTGTGTCCATAGTGTAGACATCGGAAACATAGTCCCTTTGTCCTTAGATATTGTAGCTTGTCAACATGTTCCATTCCTTGCCACTGTTTACACTGTTCAAGTCCATGACCTTCATCCTTGCAGTAGATACATGGAGAAAGTAGAGCCTTGACTTTGCTTGGTGTCTCCATGGGTCTAGTTTCTCTACTCCTTTGTTGATCATCCTGAGACAGATTTGTAGACATGACCTTTGGCTTGGACTTGAACCATTTATCTGGTGTCTTTGACAGTTCACTGAGGGCTTTTCTACCGTAGACTGGATCATTTGCCTTTTTTGCCTCTCTTCTGACGAACTCTACAAGTGAGCTAAATGGAATGGTTCTACCTTGAGCCTTGATGTTCTGTACAATGTTTCTCCATCTATCGTGATAGTGATATGGCAGCTTTATTACGAGTTTTCTCATGTTGTCTGGGTAATCAAGAATCTTCATGGAGTGTATGCTCTTGATTGCATTCTCACATTCTGTGAGGAAAAGTGCAAACTCGTCCAGTGCCTTTGGATTGTCCACTTTAATCAATGGCCAGTTGAATGCTCGCTTGATAAATGCTGAAGCAATGGTGTCTGGATTACCATAGCGTTCTTCAAACTCATTCATGATTGCCTCATATGCGTGATATCCATCCAGATAGCTGTAACCCACCACAATCCGATTGGCCTCATCCTTCGTGTATTGGTCCAAATAGTTAACTATTTCTTCAGGATCCTCAGTGTTGGTAAGGACATAACTTCTGAACTGTCTTGTGAATCTTTTGTAGTCGATCGGATCCCCGCTGAATGGCTTCATTTCCACTTGAGGTCTTTTGAGATGTTTGACAACAGATGAGTATTCTAGTAGAGGACTTGCATATCCATAGCCTGGAGCTGTCATGACATCAGGATATGTTTGTGGGTAGTAGGGGTCAGGTTGATACTGTGGTGTTGTATCCGTTCTGTATACATGTTGAGGAGGAACAGTTCTTGGATAGAATTCAGGAGGAGCATATTGTCCTGGCATTTCATTCTTCACGTGAGTCATATTCAGATCTTCAGCTTCCTGTTTGGGTGGAAAGTGATTTTCCTCTTGAGGAGCGAATCTGACATAACTTTCTACTGGCTGGGATTTGACATGTGTTTGTTGTGGATCTTCACCTTGTGCAGATAGGACTTCTAATTTTTCACCGATTTCCCTCTCATATTCTTCAACTACTCTAGTCTTGGCATCTAGTGCTGCTATTTCTGTTTTCAACTTCAATTCTTTCTCTTCCATGTGAATTCTAAGCTTCTCCATTTCTAATCTTCCTACGTCCCTTAACGCGGAAGCCCTTGCCAACAATTCTGCCCTCTCTTGTTTATGTTTTAACTTGAACATTGAGGTTGAACTTCGGGCAGAAGAAGACTTAACACTGCGAGATTTAACTTCACTTACCGCACTGTTATCATGAAACCATTTCTCAAGGTTTTGTTTAAATTGTCTTATTACAGGTGTTTCTTCTATGTCAACTTTTTGGTCATATAATGTCTTTTCATTAACATCTAACAGATTTGTGTATTCTTCTTTCACACTGTAGTACTTATCTAGCAATGTCATGTACTGTTTATGCTCAAACTGCATCCTCCCAACATCATGCGTGTCCGACATCAAAGACTGAACACTGTCCTGCTTTGCTTTTAACTGTCTGAATGTTAATTTCAATAATCTCTGTTTCTGTTCTTTAGTGTAAAGCAACCCTCTATCTGTCATTTTCCTGTTTCTACTTGAAATACTACTGAATAGCGATGCATTATCTTCTTCCATAGTTTCTGATTTATTCAATTAACTTCTCATTTAGATTTCTCTTTTCTGATTCTCATGGATAGGGTCAAAATGTCAATGAATGTAAGGATCACAATAAATGTCAATTCATCCTAGAACAAAAGAACAATTCTCATTTCCATTCCATCTTCATTCTCATTCTCAACTCATCACCAATAAATAACCTCTTTTGAATTGGAAGATTGACTGCAAAGGAAAAGTAAACAATCATACGTTTGCAGTTCAATATGTAAACAAAACAATAACAATGTATGACAATTACTAAAACAACAAAAGTTGAGAAAAGACATTAAATTGTGACAAAATAATTGCAAGATCATTTGCACAGAAAGAATGTATACATAAGTGATTGAAAACTGAACACATTATCATTACTTCAGAAAAGTTACAAATACAACAATTTGGGAAATAAAATTGCTACAGAAATATATTGACAATGGAAAAGAAATACAAATGCATGACAACATACCATTTTGGTAGACCCATATTCTTCTTTAATCTTTACTTTTTGCCTTTTTGTCTCTGACCACATGGGTCCTCATTCTCTTTTTCGAGAAACTAAAAAGCATGCATGGCATGCAGCCTAAACAGAGTGACCTTCCTTGGCTAAACTCCTGAAGCATGCATAAAATAATAATCTTTTACATGCTAATTTTGGAATGAAAACTTAGGAAAAAGTTAAACTTGAATAATTTGGAAAAGTAAATAGGAATTATTTTAGAGATGTTATTTTGACCGTAACAGGTATGAATATCGACGGCTTATTGTTTATGTAAGTAGGATGTAAAATGAAAAAGCTTGGCTAACCTTTATCAAATTAATATTAAGCTTATATAAAACATATGGACAGTAAATTAATTAGAATGAAATAAAAGTAGAATATTAGAGGAAGCTAATTTTAAATGTACAAGAATTTGGATATACAGGTATATAAGATTAAGTTGGGAATATTTTATTATAATATTAGCTGTAGTTTTGATTAATTGGATTTAAAATAATGTAAGGAACTTTCAGCGAATTGGGACAAATATGTACACGATGACACACAGACCGTCTCCAAAGTACAGCCGGCCTACATCAGAGGAGACTGTGTCAGTTCAACACAGACCGTCGTCAAAGTAGACCCGGCCTTCATCAGAGGAGACTGTGTCAGTTCAACATAGATTGTCTCAAAGGTAGACCCAGCCTAGATCAGAGGATACTGTGTTAGTTCAACATAGATCGTTTCCATAGTAGACCCAGCCTAGATCAGAGGAGACTGTGTCAGTGGGTTGAGGTCGGGGGAGCAGTTCACACTCTCGAGTTCCTCTGTTGTAGTTGACACCGACACAGGCTCCAGACAACATACACTGAAGGACACAGGACAATGGGGACATGTCAGGTGAAGATACAATGACAGGGGAGACAAGTCGTGCTGCTGATGCATTGAAATAGCCGAATCGCTTCCTGGCTGAAATATGTCCACATAATAGAATTATGGCATCTTAATAATATGTTTACTGTCCGGAGTGTACTATTTAACCTCTTTTGTGTTTCAGAAAACTATAGAGTCGGACTTTTGGAAACCCGTTACTGTGCAATATGACTATTTTTCGTGAAACATGGATAATTAATCCAAAACAGGAATCCATGCATATAGATGTATTATGTCGTTGTTAAGGCAGGACTCATTGAACTCACTTACTGTTGTTCACTCCGACACACCTCATTTGCAACGAATTACCAAAATCACTCATTAATCAGGCTCGTTAATCCGACATAGTGATCAGAGGACTCCGTTGTCATCTGCCCGCGAGTACACAGCCCGTGTATTGATGCAAGATGAGTGGGCTGATAGCAGCATATTACAACGGATGCAGAGATAAAGAATTTTATGTCTTTATGTTTGACAATTACAATATGATTTCGGAACCTCAATGGCTTTTTAAGATGTGACTTATTTATATAGGCCGTCCTACCTGGCTGTACTCCATACACTTCAAGTTCACAGAAGTTGAGAACATCCGCTTTGCCTCTGATTTTCGGTTTCCACAGTCTGATGAACCTTCCAAACACCGGAGCATCACATGCTATGTTCCCCATGGAACCAAACGTGCCAGTGTAGTTCTTACAGATGGAGAAAGCTGCTGATGGACATCGCGATGGATTTCGTACATACACCTGGATTACAAAGTCATGGAGTCTTTCCCCTGAAAGAATAACATTAAAATAATAAACACAGTACTATAATTGTATTTGGCATAAAACATTTAGCTTCAAGCATAATTATACAAAAACAGTGCTTAAGATGAATGCGTATATATGTTTCTGTGATGTGGCATGTCTTACAGTAACTTCGTATATTCAAGCATCTTCAGAAACCATCTGTATGGTCGACTGATACTTATTTGACGATGATAATAATTTGAATGAAAGATGAATTCTGGGTGAAGGTTGACGCAGAGTAGAAGTAGTTTGAGATACCGTTACGTACCACAGCAGTCTCCCCTGTTGTAGATGGTGACGTTGTGGACACTGTACTGCCCCAGGAGATCCACAACAAACCAGGGCGACATGTCACCAAAGTTAGTGTGACTGCAGACACCGTCGCGTATATCGGTTCCATGGCTGCCGTCGACAGCATTAGCAGCGATTTCGCGTAAACTATTCACGCTGCTCATCCATGCTGGTTTCTTCAGAGCCAGGTTCAAACTTTGGAATTTGCAGACTGAAAATTGAGATTCTAAGTCATATGTGTGTATCGACAATGAATTTATCTGAAAGAACCAAATGTTTTATGTTTTGTAAAATGTGTATTTCCAGCTGTCCGGGGCACACATCTGCACATTCGCCTTCATGATATTGACATCATGCAGTATCACCCTCTTTACATTGCTTTGTGACTTAGGATGTTCATGAGATTACTTTACAAGGGAAAATGAGTGACATTACGTGAGGAATAACCATTTCCCTGCATTTCAATGCATCGTATCTTTTTCATAATATTTAGAAATAACGTCCATGAACAGAGAGGGTATGTTTTGAAGCAGGACATGTGCTCGCCTGAGACTGGTTCTGCTCCAGTATGAGTACCATCTATGCAGCCTATTATCTTCTCTACTGCCCTGACATGGCTATAGTCTTACTGATTCGAAGAGAAAGCGTTAGATATCTAAAAAGCTTCTGTCTCTTATTATATGGCTACAAACCTTCAATTGCTGTACAAAATATATCCGAAGTATAGCCTATAAACCTATTACTTACGAATTTAACAAAAAAATGAGACCTCACCATCCAAATATATGACGAGCAGGAAAGAGATCCGGGAGTAGAGGTCTGCCATACTGTCGCTGATCAATTCTATTACCAACACGGCTGATGTGTTTAAGAAACTGAAGACTTGAAAATGACAATGTTCAATATTGATTGAAATCTCCTGACAGTACGTTGGCTCAACAGAACGTCTTTTTGTACCTGTTGGTGGGTTGCTGCAGAAACACAAGTCACAGTGACTTTAGTAGCCTGCAGTGTCGTATCGCTGCACCCTGGATGTTCCGGAAGGTTATAACTTAATCATGCTGGTGTTTGTTGTCTGGGGACTGATGCTTCCACAATGATGGATTGTTGTGTTCCATAACTTCGATCGTTAAATGTCTTTTTCAGATGTAATCGATTTCAGTTGAGAAATGTATCCCAAGGGTATACCTACACTTGTACCCTGGCCGTCTTGTACTTGTCCTTCAAAACCCCTCATGAAACAGTTATTGATCTGTTATATACTGACCAACAAAGCAAGGGGTCATGAAGGGGATATGTTTTGGAGTGAAGAACACACATGCAATTTCATAAAGATATCTAAAAAAATATTCACGATCCCTAACATGTTTGGTCAGTATATATCCGTGTCCGGCTAAAGACGTTTCATTTCAAAATGAAACACCACAGACAGTACAGATACCGATGTATTGAGAAGTGCTCAATCGTTGATGTACCGTTTTCATGTTTATTGCAGAACTGCTGTTCTGCGTCGGGCAATAAAGACTGCGAGTGCTACCGAGAGTGCAGGTCATATTTACCCTGAACACCTGGTGTCATAACTGATTTCATTCACATCATTTTCACCGCTATTTTGCCTTTTACGCCCAAAGGGCCCTTTTTTCGGGTGATCATTGAGACTTGTTATTCTCTGGCGTTGACGTTGTAAGGTTCTACATGCATTACTATGACAATCAGTAATTGTATTTTCACTCGACATAATGCTGAAAGTACTTATCATATTGCTAGATGATTAATGCTAGGCATTATTCGTGTTAGCAATACAAATAATAATATACCCTTAACTAAATTGTTATCACTCGATTCATGCAGATGTGATGGCGTAGAAGGAGGCCTATAGCCAAAATGATTTGTTTGCTTTTTAACGCCGCAATCAGCAATATTACAACTATATGACGGCGGTCTGTAAATAGCCGAGTTTGGACCAGACAATCCAGTGATTGATGTCATGAGCATCGATCTATGCAATTGGAATACGATGGAATGCATCAACCACGTCAACGAGCCTGACCACCTGATCCCGTTAGTCGCCTCTTACGACAAGCATAGTCACCTTTTACAACAAGCATGGGTTCCTTAAGACCTATTCTACCCTGGATCTTTACGGGTGTAGCCCTAATGACATAAATGCAGACTTAAATGTGTACTTGTGAAATGTAATTCTCCATATCCTACATAGGCGAAGTATAACATGTGTGTTCTCGTGATCTATATACGTGAGTAAATGCATTAAACAATACCGTGTTGGGCTTCACATTGTTTATGTCACCAGTGTCTACAACATATTTGTTGGCTACAAAGATTGTGATTAAATCACCCGACACGAATATTTTTGATAAAGTAACAATTACGTGTGGAAGTTGACTTTAATCACTATTTATTTGGGGGATTACCTCCCTTGAGCAGACGGATGTGTTTCAAATTCAACGAGGATAACATATAACGTCAATTTGTGGTACAGATGTACATCAAGAAGAACTTATCCAGTGTTATGGGAATATCTTAAGAAGCATGGAAAGGTCGGATCGATAGGTTTGTGCAACCTAGAGGCCACGGGCATGTAGACATATCTTTTCCCTACACCCCTGCGTAAAACTGGGCGGAGGGGACAGCTATGGTGTTTAGGATTTTGTTGTGTACAACTGCTTTCATCACAATGTAGACTATAGGATCGGTCACTGCATCACTTAACGAACGATGTCTACATTGGATTTTGTGTCACTAATACAGGTTGTAAAGGTGAGGTATGTATGAATGTACAGGACAAGGGAATCTTGCTTACATATCCAAAACTGAACCGTACTCGTACCCAAGAAGTCAGGAGACATCCGTTTGTTTCATTGATAATGTTTGCCGGTGACATAGAAATGAACCCGGGACCGACTGATGGAGACTTCAGGATTAGAATCAGGCATCATAAATCAGATTAAGGAATCAGACGACAGGTTATCAAGAGACATAGATCTTTGAGAGAAGAAGTGCATTCAATCAAGGCAGAGGTAACTGAACTGAGAACAGGAGTCAGTATAAACAGAGAAGAACAGGCCGATCTCAGACTAGATGTGTATGAAGCGTCTAACAAAGTGGATGATCTGTATTACAGGACTGACAGTATTAGTGACCCAGAAAAGACAGAGCAGAAGAAATACTTTTATAGTAAATGGGTACCAGAAGGACTTATGGTTCGGGCAAGGAAACGGTATAAGACACTTTTAAAAGAGCCAGAGATAGGAATTCAAGAGTAATTTGCTGATGAAGCCATAGATTGCGTGTCGAGGGTGTTGAGCAAAATTTTTAATGTCCCCCACAAGGACGTAGACGGGAAGATTCCCACACAGGACCACGACTTCTGAGTTCTGGCCTCAAGGCTTGGGACTAGGGAGTAACTCGCTGAGTGTGAGACGAGACCGAGTGTGGTTGCAGGATGCCTCATGTAGATCCGACAGACAATGTAGATGATTGTGAAAATGAGAATAGAAAGTTTGGTTTTGTAATATATCGGGACTGAATTCTAAATCAACAGATCAGGACTTTACCGACTACATAAACCCATTTGACCTTATCGGCATAACAGACACATGGATGTAAGAAGATATAGACACAAGTTTGACATTTCAAGGATTCAAGCCCTGGTTCAAAGAAGCTGAAAAGATTTCAAACCCTTCAGACGGTATTGCCATATCAGTTAGACAACAGCTAGCTAAATACTAGTATGAAAATGGTCAAAAGTGTACGCAAATACCAATGTCTTTCTGAATGAAAATAATATCTCATGGATTAGAAAAAAATATGTCTTCATCATATTTAGAAAGTAACAAAAATCACACTTTCATGAAACCGTTTGAAACCGATTTTGAGGGACCCATTCATGCAATTTTCACTGCCATTTTGCCATTAACTGAAATTGCAACTAAAGCCATGTACTGCCTCTAACAAATAGCTCGAAATCTACACCTACCTGTCGATTGTGTTCTCCCAGCAGTGGGTGTACCGTTGTTATATGGTTTCGATATGTTTGGTTTTGAGAAGGGACAGATTGTAGAAAGAGTTCATCTGTAATATTTCAAATTTCTATCTGGATTACGAAATTCTACACCAAAGTTTATGGTGCAAATATATAACCGTTTTATCTCGTTTTGGCATAAGCTTACCTTTCCGGATGATACTACAAACTTATCGCATATACTATTTAATTACATACAAAATTACTCTAATAGAAAAAAAACCCATTTAGTTATTCTTGGTTAAAAATGATCTTAAGTAATTTTAAACAACTACCTGTTTACGACAACCCTTCCTCTTGTATAACACCATGGCTAGTCTCAGATATTTACCAGATTTTAAAAGATTTATTTATTTAAAACAGCAAAGTAACATTCTGCCGAGTTCAAAGAGATTTTATCATACACATTTTAAACCACTACCAAAGGTTGAAAGTTGTTTATTCCTTCCTAGTATAACATCGTTGTCACTACTTAGATTATAGTACTGTAAAGCATAACTTAACCGTTGAAACTGACAGTTGGAAAAATGTACCCTTGGGAAACATAGTGTGATATTAATGTAACTCTCCTGCAGTCGGTGACGAATTCCACTACTTGTTTACACTGAAAGTACTGTTACAACTCAGATTAACACTCATACATGTACAATACAGAAAGTGGCATAAGGTATTATATTTGAGAAAAATGCTGACAAACATTAATATTATAAAAGCATGAAACAAACTGTCAAAATGCATTTGTCCATCTGTCTTAGGCAAATGGTGAACACGTGGGAAATTGGTTGGTACCAACCAATTTCTTGATTTTTTTATGTGATTTATTGAAAACTGTATTTCGCTCGGGTGCCGCCGTCTTTGATAATAAAGTTAAGTGAAGTGAGGTGATGTGATGTGATGTGATGTGGAGTTAAGTGAGGTGGTGAAAGGGCAGGACCCGCCACTCATACAATTTGCATGAAAACGTTAGTGATTGTTTGTTGCCTGACGCAGCACAAAAGTACTCTGCTGACGTCCTGTGAAAAAAACAGACAATTAAACAACACGATAGTGCAACACGATACTGATTTTGCTGAAACAAAAAGCGATGTGTTATTTATTAATTACGTCTACTGTGAACAAGTGCAGGGTCTCGGGCGATTTTAAGTAAAGAGAAACGTTAAAAAAATATAGCCGAGAGAAGTGGTAGAGGGCTCCAAGAAACCTTTTTTCTACTGCATTATCAAAGTTGCGATAGATGCCAAATCGCATTGAATCGTAGTGAACGAGAGCAGAGACGTCGGGCTTCAAAAACACTTTTTCTTACTGCATAATCAAGGTTGAAGTCTAACTTCCGGTTTCTGAAAACACATTTTGTTTACATCAAAACCTTAAATATGAAAGTCCTATGGTTCTATCTCAGTGTATATTGGCACTTTTAGTTTAGCTATGTTTGTAGCAAAGTGTTGAGTCCTTCCGGTTTGGATTATGTCATTTGTGAGTGAGTGAGTGAGTGAGTGAGTATGGTTTTAATCCGCCTTTAACAAAATTCCAGCCATATCAGGGCGTGGGACAACCAGAAATGGGCTTCATACATTGTGCTCAAGTTGGGATTCGAACCTGGATCTTCGGCGTTACGAGCAAACGCTTTAACCATCAGTGTAACCCACCGCCCCTATGTCATTTGTGGTTTCGAAAAACCGATGCTATTATGACTGTTGCTTTCTTTGTAACTTAGTTATTCTTACTTAATGTTTGGATAATGTCACTTTCGTTGACAAGGCTGCCTGTCTAACATTTTTTTTCAACTGCAAGCCATGTGACTGTGGTTCAATTTATATTAAAACGCATATTCCAGAATTTACCAATTTCAGGACCAGGGTCTAGTGGTAGAGCTTCCGCCTGGAGAGCGCAAGGTTCGGGGTTCGATCCTCGGCCACGTCATAGCAAAACACGTTAAAAGATGGTACTTGTTGTCATCCTGCCTGGCGCTCGGCATTAAGTGGCTAAAACAAGGAGTGGTCGGCTCGGAGCCAGTGTACTGTGTATGAGTGGGGTGTTCATGTTAAACTGCGACATCGTATCTCAGTGTGCTAGCACTATACATACCAATTTTATGAAACGAGTGAATAGTTGTGGTATCTGACGAGCGAAAGCAAACAAGGTTGCTGGGGTCATCGAGTGTGCATAAGCTCCTCTCAGTGATCTATCAACTTCACAGGCAATGTCGCTGAATGAGCCAAGGGATGTTGAGAGCTTTCAATATTTGTTCGTGAAACGCGTTCCGAGAATACATAAGCACGCGTTTTGTTATCACACAATGTGTAATACAGCTGTATGTTTATTAAATGGGTGATCTCTTCACGGGCAAGTAATAAATATATATACTGTGCTGACACAGTCTCCTTCGATCTTGACTGGGTCTAATATGGAGACGGTCTATGTTGAACTGACACAGTCTCCTCTGATCTAGGCTGGGTCTAATATGGAGACGATCAGGACTGGGTACCATGGTGATGATCTGTCATAACTTGTGACAGTCTCCTCTAGTGTCTAGATAGTGTCTACTATAGATATGATCTGTGTTAATCTCGAATCTGGACCAGGCAAAACAGTGATTGAAAGCAAGAGCAATGAACCATGACCCCAATCCTTTAGCCAAGTCACAAAGCCTGACAACACTCCCATGTTATAAGAATGGGATACTAATCTGACATGAAATCCCCACAGGGCTATAGATCTGGACGAAATGTTAAGACGACGGTGTTTAGATTCTAAATGTGCGTCCAATAGAGTTTCACATTTGAGACTTTCACACCAAAAAACATGTTCTTTAATGCCTTTACAGTGCAAGCATCGAGGTTCAACTCGCCTCTTGATATGAGCATTTCACTTGAACAATATTGAATGGCTGGTGAAACCCATTATACATGGGGTCATATGCGGAGAAAGATGCATATATCAAAGGTCAAGTAGGGACTACTTTCAGTTTTTACAAACATGGCGTCACCCGTGTCAATCGGCGATCGAGTCAGAATTAACCATCGCGAATCTTGAGAAACCACTGGGATAATTGTTATCATTGTCAAGATAATAGTCTAAAATACTGAAAATCAGTGTCTTACTGTGGCGTAGCTCAGGCATTTTACAAGTTTCATCAAATTTGGAGATATAAATTGAAAAACAATTTAGCCAGGACTCTTGCCTAGCGGGATCAGTTTCCATATCTGTGCTTGTAGACCTTGCGGCTAGGAACCTTTTCCCCAAACTAAAACTGTTAGATTTTATATGTACGTATTGTTACTTTGTTTCTATATGTCCGAATTGTTACCTTGTTTCGTTTTGTCGCTGTGTGTACATCTGACTGCACTTCGTGATGTTATGACAGATCAGCCAGACGTGACGTCTCATAGACTAGGGTTGGAATAGCTTCCCTTTGATAAAGGGCCCTTACTCTATTGGCCAGACCGATGGATTGCCGCGATAGGCAAGCAGAAACAATTTGTGTAGGCAACTGTTGTTTGCGTCTATGTAGTTACGCTGTTGACTGTAGTCACTGTCCGACTGACACACAACTTACCTTCTGACGTAAAATATATATATCCGCACATTCCAGGAAAACTTATAATGTTTAGGTAATGTTTGTGAGAAATGGGAGGAGATTTGTCGAGCTCAGAATTGAAGAATGATATATGATAAAAAGGTTATCACGCTTGTGTGTTTGGGGATGGTAAATACCCTGTATCAGGAAAAACAAACTATGTATTCAGCTCGCTAAATACAATGTTTATTCCAAATACAGGATGTTTACCATCCCCAAACACACAAGCGTGATAACCTCTATATATGTACGTGACACTGCATTAGATTGTTTGTTGTTTTACGGATTTTTTTAACGCATTTTGATGTCGCTTCTTTCGACAAGAAGACGAAGTGTCAATGAAATAAGGGAAATACCTCATAACTGTCTTTACGTCAACGGACAATCTGGTGTAAAGTATAAAATAACCTCGGTATTTTTTATGTATATTTGAAAGTCCATTATTGTAATGTGAGAGAGACAATTAAATCCATATAACGGAATTAACCTGGTACCTTCTTCCCTATTCACCTGTAGGAGCGGTTGGGTAGCCTAGTGGCTAAAGTGTTCGTTCGTCTCGCCGAAGAACCGGGTTTGATTCCCGACATGGGTACAATGTGTGAAGCCCATTTCTGGTGTGCCCCGCCGTGTTATTACTGGAATATTGCTAAAAACGGCGTAAAAACATACTCACTCACTCCCTATTCACCTGGAGCTACAGAATTTTAAAACTTGCTGACTGCTTGAGGGATGTTTTGTTTTTTTATTTGATGTTAATGTTTTACGAAACATCAAGTAATTTACTGAAATCCGTGAATATATATGCTTTGCTATAAATTGAACTACAATCACAGGATTTTCAGCTGAAAAGTGTGTAAGGCAGGTAACTTTTTTAAATACCGAAAGTGATATAATCCAAACAACAAATGTCATAGAGCGGTGGGGTAGACTGGTGGTTAAAGCGTTTGCTCGTCACGCCGAAGATCCGGGTTCGAATCTCCTCATGAGCACAATGTGTGAAGTCCATTTCTGGTTGTTCCACGCCCTGGCGCTGCAGGAATATTGCTAAAAGTGGCGTTAAACCATACTCACTCACAAATGAAGTAACTCGACACTTCATTAGGAACTAAGCTAGAACCATACGAATTCTAATTAAGTAAGGAAGTGTTTTCCGGAATCGGAAGGGACATAATCAAAACAAAAAGTGCCAGTAAACACTGACAAGAACCATAGCACTTCCAGATTTAAGGTTTTGATGCAGTGAGAATGTGTTTTAGGAAATCGGCAAATTTAACACTAATAGCTTTGTTGCAAAACGAGCTACAACCATGGAACTTTCGTGTTTATAATAAGATAGCGCAAATGACATAATACGAAAAGAGGAAGTACTAATGCTTTTGTTATAAACTTAGCTAGAACTATGAAACTTTGTGGTTTAAGATTCTGCTGAAGTAAACAAATTCTGTCCTGAACCGGAAGTGGTTATTTCTTTGAGGAAACGGAACTACAAAATGTACTCTGGATCTACAGACACTGACAGAAGGTATCTGTTGACTTTCCTCAATAAGACAAGACGTATTTACAGCTTAAGGTTATTTAACTGAGCTAAACGATGGAGAACATTGGATCATTGCCGGCATTTTTCGTTAACCGAAAGTGAGACAATGCGAATTGGCATCTATCGCAACCTTGGACCTAAGACTGCTCACAGCTATATTTCTGATACGTTTCTCCATACTTAAAATCAGGCGACACTCTGCACTACACAGCAGACGTAATTAAAAAAACAACATTTAGGCTTTCAGTTTCAACAAAATCAGTATGTGCGCAACGTGTCTCCTGATTGTCTGGTTTGTTTACATGCCGCCGCCCCATGCGAGAGTTCTGCTGCGTTGCGCCAGGCAACAAACAAACTGTTACTTTTGTGTGAGTGGCGCCTACTGGCTTCACTTCACTTCACTTCACTTCACTTCACTTCACTTCATTGTATTCTGAAATATACTGAAATTAACAATTCATCAAAATTGTAGGTACACAAGTTCACACAGGTTCAATAATTACCTTAGTTGGAGAAACACATTGCGGCAGGTTTTTTCAGGTTTTAAATAGTATAATTTGTCAACATGATTCTCAATTTAAATACATTTGGCCACTTTCTGTATTGTACGGGCATTAGCGTTAATCTGGATTGTAAAAGTACTTCACAATAAAACAAGTAGTGGAATTCTTCACCAACTGCAGGAGGGATTACAGAGTATGATTTCTAGTGGTATATTTTTTACCTACAGTTCAACTGGTAAGGCATGGCTTATGTTACTGGGAAGAAGTAAATACTTTTTTTTTCAAATTCTGGTAGTTGTTTTGAACGATATTCTAGTAATATCACGGCGAGTCTTCTTAAACAATAATGCAATCAATGACATTTTTATCGTCACGAGACGCTTTCCCTATCAGTTCATCTTTATCAGTTCTACAGCTGCATTTATTTCAATTAGCCCAATACCAACGTAATGTTCTCTGGCAACACTCTATGTACTTCAGTATGTAGGTTTGTTTGTTGTTTAACGCCGCACTCATCAATATTCCAGCGTTATGACGGCGATCTGTGTATAATCGAGTCTGGATCAGACAATCCAGTGATTGACATCATGATCATCTACGCAACTGGGATACGATGACATGCATCAACCAAGTCAGCGCGCCTGACCACCCGATCCCGTTAGTCGCTCCTACGACAAGCATAGTCGCCTGTTACAGCAAGAATGTGTGTTGGAGACCTTTTCTACCCCGGATCTTCACGGGTACACTTCTTCATGTAGCAAATGTAATTCATATAATATGAATTCTGTTTCTACATTGCTCTCAGTATCTCCACTATCAATATCTAGTTTGGGCGTTAAAATCGCCCATCAGAATTACATATTCACTCTTTCAGTGAAGAGAAGATATTTTATGGATGCCAATTTATTTATTCTATTTTGATTATGGTATAGATCCTTATACCGTTGTCAAGCAACAGTTAATCCATCTATAATAGAATAAAGAAGTTGTCATTCATAAAATATTTTTACTGTTACTTAGCAACTTCTAAAAATTCCAATCTAACAGTTATATTCACTCTTGGTCATGATATTTGGCTGTGACTTTTCTAGTTCATGGAAAATATGGCGACAACGCAAACAGGCATCATTATCATCTCCATTATCATCATCATCATCATCATCATCATCATCATTATCTCATTCATGTAGCCACGAGTGAAAATAACTCCTTTTCCCCGTCACGAAAAGAAAGAAACATGATATTTCACGAGTCACATAAAATACTAATATCCTATTTATTATATACTTTTTGTGTAGTTTACTATTGGAAAATTAAATTATTTCATTACAAATGTAAAACCTTTAAACATGTTAAACGTAAATTCTCCCTACCTAACACACAGGGACGGTACACCAACTCTTGTATTTGCGACTTGGAAAGTAGTTTCGTTGTCGCAAAATCTTAAAAAATATAAACAAAAGTATCAAAACATATTCAGGGTCACGAAAATTCTTTATCATACATTTCAATATGATTATATATACAAAATCAACTTTAACAAAAAATATTCTTGGAAATTAGGAGACCACTGCTGGAAGCGAAAGAATACACGCTGGTCGAGTAACAAAAATGGCGCTTTGAGTCTCCATTAACGAGTTAAATGAGAAATTTACAATTTATAACAAAACATTTTCGAGAGAATAACAAACGGATAGAAGTGATATTAACTCCATAAATGACCAACTGTCATTATTTTTCCTTGTCAATGTGGAACTCACGTAAAAAGGACGTCAACAGTTTGTGTACGGGCTAGACACTTACGATAAAGGGAGACAGTTGTATGACAATAGTTCCGTCAAAGTTCACAGCAGTGAAATATCAAGTGTTATGTTCACTGCAATGAAAATATCACTTTTCTCAACTTCAGAAAACTTAGTCTTTCACACTGAAGTATATTCATCACCATCTTAATCTTCATCTCCATCGTCATCATCTCCTTCATCATCTTTATTATCTTCATCTCCATCATCAACATCATCTCCAGCGTCATCATCAGTGTCGAGACAATCACGGTCATTCCATCTGATGCGCACGTAAAATCTCATGATTCGCCCACACTGTATTCCACGTGCACGTCAACCATCAATAACAATGAATTGTTTAATCATTTTAGGAGCCGAAGATATATTAAGACTAGTATATGGACGTTAAAATTGTTCTTGGAGCTGCAGGCTCCCATTTCAACGATCAGACACCAAGCCCTCGTGCTTTACATTGAGACTAATAGAAGTGAATAGAACAGGGAACGCATGCATCTTCCTCGGACAAGAGCGTCCACTAGCCTATTATATATAGGATAATTCTATCCATTTAGCTATAATATAAGGGTAACGCTACCTTTCAGGGCATTATCATATGTAGAAACCCGAGGTCTTCCATTAACTGCCCGACGAAGGAGGGCAGTTGAAAAGACCGAGGGCTTCTGCAAAAGATAATGCCCTGAAAAAGAGAGTTACCGTTATTATAGCTAAAATGGATGGAATTTGTTATCAAATAAAAAGAAACAACAACATCGGTTTTGAAACATTTACTGCAATCAACACGAATGTCACTGACCACATTTTACAAATATGGAAACGTCATAGAACAAACTAGATGACGTCACTATAATACGTGACGTCATTTTCTCTACCCTATGACGTCAACTAACAAAGGGGCTTGCTAATGGCCTGTCGTCAAGCAATCTGAGGGCATTATCAAGTTACAGTGGGCCGCTCATTTCTGATAACATGCGGGCGGTGTAATGATAATTCTATCCATTTTAGCTATAATATAAGGGTAACGCTATTTTTCAGGGCATTATCATTTGCAGAAGTTCGAGGTCTTCAGTTAAATGCCCGACGAAGGAGGGCAGTTGAAAAGACCGAGAGCGAATCACATCCGAAACAAACATCATGTACAGGACTAAACGGCTCATTATAGCTAAAATGGATAGAATTATCACAAAACCGCCCGCATATTATCAGAAATGAGCGGGCCACTGTATCTTGATAATGCCCTCATATTGCTTGGCGACGGGCCATTATCACGCCCGTTGTTAGGTGACGTCATAGAATAGGGATAGGTGACGTCACGTTCAATAGTGACGGCATCTTGTTTGTTCTATGACCACTCTCCTACCCAGAGTTCCATGCGGCCGGCAGCCAGCTAGCATAGTGTTATGCTGAGTCTCCACTGCGACGGAGTGTGTTCTATGACGTTTCCATATTTGTAAAAGTGGGTCAGTAACACATTCGTGTTGATTGCAGTAAATGTTTCAAAACCGATATTGTTGTTTATCATTTAACTAACGCATTTATCCATGACATAAGCTTATGACATAAAAACATGTATGTCATACCCCAATGCACTCTCCTACCCAGAGTTCCTTGCGGCCGGCAGCCAGCCAGCATAGTACCTCTGCCACAGGCCAGCGCCATGTGACAATTCGTCACATCTTTCACAGTCCATTCAAGATATTGCATATGCTGTTCATCCGTTTCATTTTTGATAAGCTTTCACATTGTGATAAACAAATGTCAAAGAATGGTTACGGTTCATTTAGAAAGTATGCTAAAATATGAAAATAAGTGTAGTTATCGTTTGTTTACATTGGTTGTACGGCTCCACGTGCTGTCATCGAAGCCCTTCGGAGAGCTAGCGATACGGTCACTTTGATGTATAAATATATATTGTCATGCAACTCACTGTCGCAGTTGTAGTAGCATATCTATATAGTTGTGCAAAACAATATGTAAAGCGCCCCCAAATTCTTGCATTAGTCTGTTCTATACTGATTTCTGAAAAAGCGCGTTTGTTTACAAACAAGAGAAAAGTCCGGTCACGTGATATGCAAATTAGCCTGTGGCAGTGGTGTTATGCTGAGTCACCACTGCGACGGAGTGTGACCCCAATGCACTCTCCTACCCAGAGTTCCATGCGGCCGGCAGCCAGCCAGCATAGTACCTCTGCCACAGGCCAGCGCCATGTGACGATTCGTCACATCTTTCACAGTCCATTCAAGATATTGCATATGCTTTTCATCCGTTTCATGTTTGACAAGTCTACACATTTTCATAAACAAATGTCAAAGAATGGTTAACTTTCATTGAGAAAGTATGCAAATACGTAAAAATCTACTTGTTTTTGCGTAGTTATCCTATGTTTACATTGGTTGTACGGCTCCACGTGCTGTCATCGAAGCCCAACGGAGAGCTAGCGACACGGTCACTTTGATGCATAAATATATATTGTCATGCAACTCACTGTAGCAGTTGTAGTAGCATATCTATATAGTTATGCAAAACAATATGTAAAGCGCCCCAAAATACTTGCATTAGTCCGTTCTATACTGATTTCTGAAAAAGCGCGTTTGTTTACAAACAAGAGAAAAGTCCGGTCACGTGATATGCAAATTAGCCTGTGGCAGTGGTGTTATGCTGAGTCACCACTGCGACGGAGTGTGACCCCAATGACATAAGTATGCAAATTAGATATGCAAATTAGATAACCGGAAGTGGGACTTTTTTCGCTGGTGCACGTGAGTAGGTGTTTACAAACAACATGGAAACCTTTGATGTTGGAGACAATGTATTAATAGATCAAAGGGGAAGTGCTGCAGTGATATCCGTGTTGACAAATGGATATTACAGGTTACTGGTTTTTGGTACCGAATTTGAATTTGACTGTGATGAAGGCAGATTATCAAAACTTCCTTGTGGCCAAAGTTTCATCATCGAAACGCCATCGTCGAGCACGGCGAAGCAGACGACGAACACAAAGCCGAAAGATGCCCAAGGAAGATTTGTAGTTGTTGAGGACGGCATGATCGATGGTGTGATCCTAGACAATCAAAACAAAAACACAGCCAAGAAAACTTTGTACGATTTGAAACTGTTCGATAACTTTCTAAAAGTCCAAAATGAATTTCGCCAAATGCACGAAATCCCCCCAATGAACTAGACACACTTCTCTGCAAGTTTTTCATTAGTGTTCGAAAAACAAATGGGGAAAATTATGAACCAAACAGTCTCACGGGTTTTCAGAGCAGCATCGAGAGATCACTAAAACGAATTTTTACGATCACGGGAAGTATTAAAGGGGAGAAAAACTGAACTAAAAAAAGAAGGGCGTGGCAACTTACCAAGGAGAGCCGACCCGATTGGTGATGAAGAGATCGAGTGGCTCTACAACACAATCCATTTCAGGTTAAGAGGTTTCAATGATCACTACAACATGTGTTGGGGGAACATCACATTGCATGTTGATGGAGACGATCACGAATATCTTGAACTGTCCATGAGACAAGAAAAGAAAAGGTCCGGTGAGAATCCTCGTGATTGTCGCGACGTTAGGCCCAAAATGTGGGCTAATGTTGCTGATCCCTCTCGGTGCCCTGTGCAGGTGTATAAGTTGTATGCCTCCACACATCCACTCGACTTCTGTCGAGATGACGATCCCTTTTACATCAGCACACACGCTTTAGGTATGCCTAAACCTGGCGATCAGTGGTTTATCCGCTATCGTATTGGGAAAAACAAACTTTCCTCTCTCATGAAAAACATGTGCGATGCCGCAAGTCTCCAAACATCGAAACGACTCACAAATCACTCTGCGCGCAAACACCTTGTGCAAAAGTTGAATGACAATAATGTTCCGCCAAATCAAATAATGCAGATAACTGGCCACAAAAACATCCATTCTGTGAACAATTACTGCCATATTAATCTTGACCAGCACAAGTAAATTTCCCAACATCATTTCACGAAACACTCCATCTCACACTGTGACATCACAGCTTGTTGATGAAACTCCCGTCATGCAGAGCGGCCCCTCGCGTAATGTCCAAATCGACAGTAGACAACACAGTCAGCGGTCTCAAATAATAAATGTTTCTGGTGGTGTCAACACTATGTTTGCTGGCAACACTACTGGTGGAAACAACGATTAATCTCGTTAAACCTCCAAGCCCGGTCCCAGTCAAAAGACTCCGGATTGTCATCGAAAGTGATAGTGACACCGACTAATGCATCTTACTCTGACCTCTCAGCCGCGAGACATTCTTCAAGTGAGAGAGCGGTTTGATTGGAAACTATATATTATAAGTGAAGTTACACCAGAGATATAATCAGATTACACAGAATCGTTGTTGTTACCGTTTTTAAAATCTCAATTTTTCTGCATAAGTCTGTTCAAGTATTTTGTTTAAAATAATCCGAGGAACTTTTTTTCTCACCAAAGGAATATGCCATAAAGGCGTTAAGAGGTTGTTTTTTGGGGTTTACACGGATATGGAAAACATGTATCACTACGCCCGATCTATACGTAAGATTTCGACAAGTTGCTGATGTTAATGTTCATGCAATTATTCCTTAAAAGGGAGGCAAAGGCTCGGCAAATACCGATTAACTAAGACTCGGTTGATATTTCCCATATTAAAAAAAACACTCGTGATGAATCCTCTATTTATCATATAATAAGTAGGTTTCTCGGCAGGATAAAGCAAACGGATAAAAACGATATCCGTCGGGGTCATATGCGGATAGAGATGCAAATATCAAAGGTCAAGTAGGGACTAATTTCACTGTTTACAAACAAACATGGCGTCGTCCTCGTCATTTTGGCGATCGAGTCAGAATTGACCATCGGGAATATGGATAAACTACAGGGATAATAGCTATCATTATCAAAAGAACAGTCAAATATACTGAAAATCAGTGTCTGACTGTGACGCAGCTAAGGCATTTTATAAGTTTTTGCAACTTTGGAGATATAAATTTCGAAACAGTTTTGCGAGGGCACTAGGCCTAGCCAAGCGGGATCAGTAGACACATCTGTGTTTGTAGACCTCTGCGACTTGAAACCTTCTCCACAAATTAAAATAGTTGGATTTGGCCGAAATATGTTTGAATTGTTACCTTGTTTCCTTTTCTCGCTGTGTGTACATCTGACTAAACTTCTTAACGTTATAACAGGACAGACCGACTGTCAACAACGTCTGAACGTGGCCGTGACGTCTCAAAGGCTAGGGTTAGAGTAGCTTCCCTTTGGCAAAGGGCAGTTACTCTAGCGGACAGACCGATGGATTGCCGCGAAAGGCAATTAAAAACAATTGTTGTTTTGCGTATATGTTGCTTCGCCACTGTATAAGAAACAGATTTCAGTTGGAATGATATTGGCTAATGTCACTGTCCGACTGACACATCACTTACCCTGTGACGTAAAAAAAATTAATGCGCGCATTCCAGGAAAACTCGCAATGTTTCGGTAATGTTTGTGAGAGAGGGAAAGCGATTTTGTAGCACAGAATTAAAGAAGGACATTATATGATAAAAAGGTTATCAGGTTATCACGCTTGTGTGTTTGGGGATGGAAAATATCCTGTGTTAGGAATAAACACTATGTGTTTAGCGAGCCAAATGCAGGAAATTTACCATCCCCAAACACACTCGCGTGATAACCTCTATTTATTTTTATTTGATAATAAATTCTATCCATTTTAACAGTCGGGCAGTTAATGGAAGACCTCGGGCTTCTGCAAATGATAATGCCCTGAAAAATAGCGTTACCCTTATATCAACCACTGATCCACCAATGTCATTAATTAATTATTTATTGCTACCGTCTTCACAATACTCATTGAATGACCCGTGCAGATCCGGGGTAGAATAGTTCTTCAGCAACCCATGCTTGCCGTAAAAGGCGACTTACGGGATCGGGTGGTCAGGCTTGTTGACTTGATTGATGATGCATGTCATCGTATCCCAATTGCGTAGATCGAGGCTCATGACGTCGATCACTGGATTGTCTGGTCTGGAAAATTGCAGAGTGTGGCAGTAAACAATTTGGTTTGTTTATAAATTAAAAAATAGTTTAATGAATTGATTCCAACTTAATACGGCTGCGAATTGCCCGATCCAAGTTTCTCTAAGAAAGAGCAGGCATATTCAAAGAACACACTGTAACATCACAAAAAATGTTTGTTTCCATAAATTTATCTTTTCAGAAAAATCATACTTCTTACACAGTAGTGGTTTGCCACGTAACGTAACCAAAGTGAATCAAAGACTTGCATGGTTTGATGATAGACTTGCATAATGAATGATCATGGATTAGAAGGTGCAAAAACAGGTATGCCGTTTTCTTCGGTGTGTATTCTGGTGAACAAAGTGACACGTCTAAACACAGTTTTATTAACTGTAATTGTTGAGGCTAACTACGCTCATCATGACGTCACAGTTGAGTGTACAAACATCTTTCCACAACATAAACACATGACGAGAGCACCATGACAGACGTATTACTTCCAAACAAGTTGTGGCCATTAAACCATACATTAATAACATGTTTAATCTATACCACTCAAAATAGGTTAAGGGTCACCCAATTCCGTCACATTACTAAAGTTAATCTGACATAGTACGACAGATTAACTATAGTAATATGAAGAATCCAATCAATCTCATTAAAATCAGAACTTAGTTCTCGCTATCGCTAAACAAAGATCTGAGGACATCCCATTACTGATGACGTAAGAACGACCTTTCATCCGACAAATCAAAGCGTGGCTTACTAGATCATGAAAGTGAGTCGGAATGCGTTTTCTAATCATGCAACCTCGAAAGCGTTAACACTGTGTATTCCGAACGACAGTTACGGCCCGTACGACTGATTCCGTCAAAATCATCGTCTATCTCTGCTTCCGAGGGATAAACATTTGAACGAAGGAGGCGTTGCACCGTACGTAGGAAGCACTGCCATACAATCTCAACCATATGGTAGACATTCCGGAATGTTCGTTTGTTCAGTTTCCAAATTTTAATCGAGAACTGTGTCAACATATTTTTCAAGCTAGTCTGAAATGGAAGTCGCCAGGTTGAAACGAGTGCCGTAAAGCTTGAGAAAATTACTTCTAATTGGCTGATGTATATTTTACGAAACTGTGTGCTCAAACATAAATATATACAGATGTATATAGAATCGAAGAATGACATTATAAGATAAAAATGTTATCACGCTTGTGTGTTTGGGGATAGTATATACCCTGTGTCAGGGAAAACAAACTATGTATTCAGCTCGCTAAATACAATGTTTATTCCAAATACAGGATGTTCACCATCCCCAAACACACAAGCGTGATAACCTCTATGTACGTGACACTGCATTAAAATGTTTGTTGTTTTACGGAGTTTTTTAACGCATTTTGATGACGCTTCTTTCGACAACAAGACGAAGTGTCAATGAAATAAGGGAAATACCTTATAACTGTCTTTACATCAACGGATAATCTGGTGTAAAGTATTAAATAACTTCGGTATTTTTTATGTATATTTGAAAGTCCATTATCGTAAAATCGTAAATATCTTCTCGTGGCCCATGGTAAAACGAGACACCTTCAGAATCAAGGGTCAACTGACCCACATGACTCCACTGTGAATGGCATATGTGACAGGTCCTTATTTAGTATGGATGCCAGGGCAGAGGTGATCTGACTGCACCCGATACTGCATCACAAGCACAGGTCAGCCTAATGATCCCTGATGCAGGAGGCAGATGCTGGTGCCACCCAAGCCTAATCTCCCTAAAAAGACGTGATTCAATGTATTGTGTTGATATTGCCCCTATTCTGTAAAACATGATCATGTACTTGTGCCTTGAATTGTTTTCTTCTAGACTTGAATTTCGGGTAGATTGACAATGCTTGTTTCAAACTTGTCAAATAAGAGATTGATTAACAGTTTTCTTCAATAATTGTACTGGTCATTTCTTGTGCAGACATTTGTTTTTGTTTGGGAGGATTATTGTTTTCACTTTCATTACTCTCCTTCATAGAACAGCATAACGTGAACCTCAAACAAGAGTTTGTATCTGTGGAGTGTCATATCTTAATTACCGCCGTAATATTACTGGAATATTGAGTAAGGCGTAAAACACTCATATTTTAATTTGACCGATGCAATGCGTTTATACATATGAAGTGTGTATGGAGATACATGTACCATACTTTCATCTCCAGGTGTTTGTCTACAAGTAATAATACGCTGTATCATCGCTTCCAGAGTAATGTTTTCCAATTCTACCTTTGGACTTTCAGATACAAGGCAACTTAATGCTGGCCTCGGCAACACAGTTTGTGCTGGGAGCCACCGGCCTTGTTGGCTTCTTTCTCAGGTTCATCGGTCCGCTCACTGTCGCCCCGACGATCACAGTCATAGGACTGTATATAGGACAGTTTGCCTTGTCACTTTGTGAGCAGCACTGGGGAATAGCTTTTCTGTAAGTGTCAACCCGTCTGAACGCCGCTCGTTGTGTTGTGGAACACTCAGCTCATGCTTTATGCAACATGACACAATCTGAGTGCTCGACACTCGTAACAATCATATTCTGTCGTACACTTTCGAGAGTCGCTGCGCTACGTTTGTGTGGTGGTACTATGCTCTGGCTATTTCGCCTTACTTGGGTTCTAGGAACCGTGTCATGATTCTCTGGCGATTGAATAACTAGAATCGGTTTCTGTACTCTGTCGAAAATACATTCTTCTGTTTGTTCCCAATTTCATTGTTACCGTGGTACTTTTCAATCGTGCAAATCATGTAAAGAATATTCTATTATGTTTATGGTTAACTGTTGTATTGCAAACTATCCTTTCACCGTCGTATGAAAGTATCATGTCTTCGTGGTAGGGTGGAGATAATCCTACTTAGAGATGTGAATTGCGACAGAAACGAAAGCGTTCAGGCTAACATGATATGTTTCGAGTCAATATATACTAACAGAAAAAAGTAACTGTGCTTCGCATAAAGTGGTGAAAATGTGATGTTATTTGAAATAACGACATAATATTTGGTCATTCGTCTGATCAATGTTTTATCATAATAATTGCATTGACAAAACCCATACCTGGCACCAGGTGACAGAGCAACACGCCCTAAAATAGGGGTTGTGTAACATCTCATTTAATAATGTCAATTTTGGGTGTGACCACCATTTGCGTTGATGCATGAGAGACAGCGGCAACGTATTGATGACACCAGATGATTGTAAAACTGCCCGGGGGATATCAAGCAAAGATGGGCCCATCTGAACTAGCGTTACCGGTTGGTTCTGGTCCTGTCGTAGGAGTCTAACCATCTCATCCCAGACACGCTAAAGCTTTCTCCTGAACGACCGTAGAACATTGCGCGACCATCAGAGTTGTTCTCCTCTGTGAACAATATACTGCTCCAGCCTTGTCGTCTCAACCTGAGAAGTAAGGTGTAACGTGGAAGCAAAATTGGGCGTTCCGCGTAGTCGGATGTTGTTCCCCCTTCATCGGTTGCGTATGGTTCTGCGTAATTGGTCTCATTCCAGGACTCGCCCGAGCAGTTAATGTGGCAGTTTGGTATCGATTCCGGGTGTGGTCGACCGGTCCGAGGAAAATTATGAGTGTTGACTGCTGTGATAACGTCTCCGAAGATATATTCATTATGCGCTGTTCACATTCAAAAAGCACGTTTGGGAATATTTTGCCCCCAACAAACATACAAAATGTGCGCCGTGCATGATCATGCAAGTACACATTGTGAATCACGTGATGTCTCCATGAATATATATTGAAAGATACATTATTGAATTCCAGAAAATATTTTTATTGAACTTTATATGAAGCACATTTATGTTTTCCGTTAGTATACAACCATGTGAATACCTATCACAGAATGTTACACTCCACGTTGTTTCGAAGATGAATTTGATAGATATGCGTGTTCAGTGTCATCTTATATAAATGTTTTCCATGTCAGCATGTCACAGTAATGATGGCATACTTGACATATCTAGCTCTAAAGTATCATACTATGCACTGCAGCAGTGAAGGTAGTGTGATGGGCTATTTGGATGAGTTATCGTTTGTCTCTAAGTGGATTGATTTATAACATTTCCTACAGGCACCTTACATGAATCGTGTCTCTGTATCATGCAAGTAAAGCTTAAATGTGATGACTAATGACTTACGTCCGATTCTGAGTCCGAGTTGTTTACTTCAGATCCTTGGCGCTGATGATCATATTTGCCCTCTTCTTGTCCACCATTCGGGTTCCACTTGCAACATATTCAAAACGAGAGGGTTTCCATGCAAGTAGGACACCGATCTTTGAGCTGATACCTGTGAGTATAACAGGCATGTGTACTCGTTGTTGTGTTTCATGCATTGAATTCTGGATTACCCATTGATTATCTATCCATTCTATCATTATAAATACTATCGACCCATTATCTGTATTAGATACATCTTGAGTCCACGTCACGTGTGAGTGAGTGAGTGAGTGAGTGAGTGAGTGAGTGAGTGAGTTAAGATTTATGGTCACATCGACAGTATTTCGGCCATATCGTGCCTTAAACAAGTTACATATTAATAATTCATAAATTTAGAGCAGCAAAGACCTGTCGTCAATAGACAGTAAAACAACTGGAGTATCACAGATTTGTATTTAAAAGTAGCATGGAACGATAAAAGGGTTATGACTGTAACTGTTAATCTGAAGATAAACCAGCAAACAAAGTTAGGCCACCATGCCAGGGACCATGAGGACTTACGGTTATTTTAATTTAAATTTTTTACCGTACTTCTGCTATATGTTAACCAGCAAGATTTACACCATCCCTCTGGTTACTGGCGATTGTTAGAAAGTTAAGCCGACAATTAAAATTACGAGTATGCTACGAATATGCTATGTAAAACTATGGCAGGAATAAATGTGGTCGTTCATACTCTCCCAGGGGGAAAATAATTTTACGCTACTTCAAACCCATTTGAGAGTATTGCCACTAACAATCTCAATTATCAAATTTACTCATGCCTTTTAATATAATTTTTTTTCAATTTTACAAAAATATCCAAAAATGTTGTAACATGATATTTTTAAAAACAACAACAGATGATTAAATGAGAACTCTAGCTAATTAAAAGGCACGAGAGACATTCTTTGGGGCGTTACTGGTAAGGGAGATATACATTGTAATTCAACACGTCTACGTTTGAGATTAACCAGTCACGAATGCCTGCTGTAGCAGACTCAATGGGACATAAATGGCAAATAGTTATGAAAATTATATGTATTGATCAGTGATGACACCTGGTTTTCACAAAAAGGATAAGCAGGGATAGCAATTCATACGGGAAATTGTGGTTGTGAATGGGCCCGGGGTATTTATGACATTAACGTAGAGATTTAATACACTAGATATCCGAGATTGAAGACGTAGTAACTATTTGGCATCCTTGCCTATAATAATTGGTATAAATCAATACTACTTAAACATGAAACGTCAACGCCAGAGAATATTCAGTCTCAATTATCTGCCGAAACTGATTTGGGCGTAAAAGGCAACATAATCGTGAAAATTACATAAATGAATCACTGAAGATCAGTGATGACAACTGACATGGGTACAATGTGTGAAGCCCATTTCTGGTGTCCCCCGCCGTGATATTGATGGAATATTGCTAAAAGCGGCGTGAAACCATACTCACTCACTCACTCACTATATTTATAAGCAGTATAACAAAGTAAAACCAATAACAAAAGAATATCGAAATGCTCCTCAGGTCATCCTCTCCGTCGGGATTACGTGGCTCCTGTCGTTTGTCTTGACGGTGACGGACGTTTTACCCAGCAACTCCACCCAGCACGGGCATATGGCCAGGACTGACGTCAGAATCAACGCCCTCTACGATTCACCTTGGTTTTACTTTCCACTTCCGTGTAGGTATCGGTATCCAGCCCTTGGGAGTCCCGGTTAGAGTTGACCGCCAGTTGTTTGTAAGACGAAAATTAATGGTGGTTAGGATCGGTCAAATTTGTTCATTGCAATTAATATCAATGACTGGATTGTCTGGTCCAGACTCGATTATTTACATCCAGCTGTCATGCAGCTTGGTACGTGTTAGGTTTAACCAGAAACGCACAAACACACCTGTATCTGCATATTCATAGAAACCCTTGACTGTCTATGATTAAAGTTTGAGAGCACCTGATTGCTATCCAACTGAAAATCTCAGTGCTTTGACAAAGTTGGTGGCATAAACAAATTGGGTCGCATGGTGTATTCAGAGGTGTACATATACACACGGCGGGATGTTTAAATTATAAGAGTAAATCGTGGATCCCATGCTGTGGGATTTCGATTTAGAAGACACAGTACTCGCTGTCTTACAGAGTTTCTAAAACCTCACAAGTCACACATATCTAGGTCACACATATCGGTGTTTTGTATACACTAGACACTGTAACTTTGACCATTGTCAGGTGTACTGTTAACATGGAATTTATACAGGTATCTCAAAGATGAGAGACACGAATCATGCTACTCTATTAATTTCATAACATGTCTATGCATGTACTACGCAGGCTTAGACCGCCTCCGTGGTCTAGCGGTAGAGCTTCCGCCTGGAGAACGGAAGGTCCGGGGTTCGATCACCCGTCGCTTCATAGCGAAAGACGTTAAAAGATGGTACTTGTTCTTACCCTGTCTGGCTCCCGGCATTAAGGTGCTAAAACAGGGACTTGTCAGCTTGGAGTCAGTATACTGTGTCTGAGTGGGGTATTGGTCATGGTAGCTAGCACGATAAATCGGCTTCAGACCTTACTAGTACAAGCAGCTACAAACACACACAAACACGTGCATGCACGCTATGTAAATGCAATAATCTTGGACGCGACGTTAACCCCAATTTCACCTCACCTCACCTACTTGGACTTGTTACCACCAAGTCACCCCGCACATTATATATTCAGTTCAGTTTGGAATGCCTACAGTCAGTGCAGCAGGATACGTTGGAATGCTGGCCGCTACAATTGCTTCTACCATCGCATCTACCGGGGACTATTTCGCTACAGCGCGTGTGGCGGAAGTTGTTCCGCCGCCGCCTCACGCCGTGAATAGAGGTATAGCAACGGAGGGTTTTTCAAGCACTATCGGCGGAATGATTGGTGGAATCTGCGCAAGCACTTCCTACAGTGAAAATATAGGTGCCATTGCTATTACAAAGGTAGATATATTAAATATAACATAGATATAATACTATCAGTTATGGTGTCACCCTCGCCCAATCTTTTTCTGCTAACCTAATATCACACCGTATACGGCAACTAAAGACACCATAACGAAATTAATATGCCGAAAAGTTTACACTATTTGGTATGTTTGTCGCACGTCATGTCAAAACTTAAAACTCAAAACTTAACACTCACAACCTGAGACGTTAAGGGTCAAAGGGAGACTACTCTTCAAACCTCAGAGGCCAAACCTTATTGATAATTTTAACTTTATATAATCTTTATTTAAATCATAAAGGTTATATAAAAAACCCATTAACGTCCTTGCCTTAAAAAATACTGATATTAAAACACAAAACAGTGTCGAAAAACGAACTTCTGCACCAGAATTTTCATGTGAAATATGTGAAGTGGGTGTTGGAAAATCCAAGATGGCTGTTACTGACGGTATACGGTCTCATATCAGGTCAGTAACAACCATCTTGGATTTTTACTGACGGTATACGGGCTCATGTGGGGTCAGTAGTTCTGCTCTCAGATTGGTAAATCTCACTTTTAAGGCATAATGAATATGTATATTATTTTTATAGATGTATGTTTTATACTAGTCATATGAACGCAATCAGTACGTCTACTGTTTACACTTACTTCGATATGAAATAAATCTGATATTTATCATAGTGAGAAAAATGTACAACTTTAGACTATGGATTACAACTTCTGGTTTGTTGCATACAGCGACATTTCGATGAAGATTTTATACCGTTATCAAGCCGGAGTGACAACCAAATAATGAGAGGAATATATGCATGACATGTTGTGAATAAGCAGCAGATTAACATTGGCAACAACGGTAATAGATAACAAGTAGATAATTGGATGATTGGTTGGTTGGTTGGTTTGGTTGTTTTACGCCGCACTCAGCAATATTCCAGCTATATGACGGCGGTCTGTAAATAATCGAGTCTGGACCAGACAATCCAGTGATTGATATCATGAGCATCGATCCACTCAATTGGGATCGATGACGTGCTTCAACCAAATCAGCGAGACTGACCACTTGATCCCGTAAGTCGCCTTTTACAACAAGCATGAGTTGCTGAACACCTATTACACCGGATCTTCACGGGTTAGATAATTGGGTGAAGCCAGGTCCAGTACAGGGTAAGGATTAAAGGAATTTTACAGTTATGACAAGCTGATTGGGTCCTAATTAAAATAGTCTATTGCTTAATCAGATCTTCATAGGTAGACGATATGTAATACCCTTGATACCTCTGTTGATCAAAGCTTTGTGACGGCGGATTTCTATAGCATCTGAGGGTTTTCTTTTGATGAAGTCCTGGTGTTTTATTGAGAGGATTTGGACTTTGTCAAACTTAATTTGATGGCTAGGGAATGTTTACTGGTGGTCGCTTTAAGCAATAAACCAGACGTTGTTATCCATAAAGTTGTACGTTTTTCTTACTTACCTTTCATCCGACCAATCAGAGCGCCGCTTACCAGATCATGAAAGTGACAGTCGGAATGTGATTTCTAATCATGCAACCTCGAACACTGTAAAACGGGGTATTCCGAACGATAGTTACGGGCTTGACGACTGAATCTATACAATCTAGACCATATATTAGCCATTCGAAAATGTTCTTTTGTTCAGGTTTCAAATTTTTAAGCGAGAATTTGTCAAGATATGTTTCGAAGCGAACTAACTAACTAACTAACTAACTAACTAACTAACTAACTAACTAACTAACTAACTAACTAACTAACTAACTAACTAACTAACTAACTAACTAACTAACTAACTAACTAACTAACTAACTAACTAACTAGATATGACAAGTCTATGAACACATGTTGTAGATTGCAAGCAGGAAGGTGTTTGTCACAGCCGGCATTCTCCTGGTTTTGGCTGGCGTGATTGGCAAGATCGGCGCTGTTTTCACTATCATCCCCGACCCTATCATTGGCGGGGTGAACCTCATCACCCTGGGTATGGTGACGGCCGTGGGCGTGTCCACACTGCAGTTCATTGACCTCAGGTCGTCACGGAACCTCATGATAATCGGGACGTCAATGATGCTGGGACTGAAGATTCCCGACTGGATGGCTACACACTCCCAGGCCATTGATACAGGTAGATAACCGAAAGAGAGAAGTGTCTCTCTCTTGTCAAGAAATGTTTCTCCAGTACAAACCTACCACAAATCTCGAAACAAATGACCAACTTGCCTTGTCTATCCCAAACAATACAGACTAAAGTCCTTCGGTGCTCGATCCTCCTCTCATCCAGATGCCTAAACTATGGAACCCCTTCCCTTCCGATTCAAAAGCGCCCCTAGTATAACTGTTTTTAAATATGGACTCAAAAGATTCAGCTCTTCGCGCGCTACAACTGAATGTGTATACTTTTATTATCTGTTAATAATATCGTTTAATATCTGGTATATTATATCTGTTGTGTAATACATGTACATATGCTATGTTGGGCATTGAGCATGTCCCTCAGCGGTGTGGAATTTTGCGATATAGAAATAGCAATGCTATTATATAAAGATAACAATAAAGGATGCCGCAAAGAGGGTATGGGTGATCCTGGCAGTCAGGCTGGTTAGGCTTATCATCAGCTCAAAGCCCTTGACCCCTCTACGCGCAGCCCAGACAGCGAATTGGACTTCTCCCATCAAGGGCTGCCTTGTCAGACCCACCCAAAACTTTTCGGAGAATAGGAAGAACACGGGTACTCTCACAATGTCAGTCAACAGAATGGGAGGTACAAAAACTAAGGCACCATAAACAATGGGAGTCGGACAACTTGGGATGCAAGCGTGACATTTCGAAAGCGAGGACTGCATATTTGCCATGTTTTTCCTGAATCTTGTCAATTACATTAGTGTCAAAAGGGACAGAAATTACAATAACATAAATGATTTATTAAAAAGGAAAAGATCAGGATTGTTGATCAGGGTAGGTCTGAGGCTGTACATGGGACTATTCCAAAGAACTTTGTATTTATCATTTCCCTCTACATATTCTGGGTCGTACCATGCAACCATGTTTTGTCCCGTTTTGGCTTGCGTTCATGCAATGGCGGCTTTGTCATGGCTAAAGATGAGAGATGTTTGTTGACATTATTTATTTATTCTACATTGTACATTTTCTCTCATACCCCAAACCGTTGTTTCGATGACGTTTAACTGAAATTAGCGCGTTCTTCGGATCCTGGTCTAACCGCGCCTGCCTGTGTGAGGTCACGAAATTGTTTTACTCAACGTAAAATCTGTTGTGAGATATTTGTATAAATCACGAAAAAGGAATTAAGGCAAGTGTGACATAAGTTTGCTATGAAGTTTTAATTTCCTAAAAAACTTCTGGGGCTTCTGGTTTTTCACGTGAGCAATTGGCTTGCCTTTGCTCGTAACTGCTTCCACCGGAAGGGCAGGATGCGAACACTTGGTATCACTGTTTGATGGGTGGTTCATAAACACATCTTCATGATATAGTCCGAATCGCATAATCGACTTTGCTATTAGCAGAGATTCCCTGTCTTAATTTTCTCTATCACGATTTCAAAGACTCTTGCTCAGAAATTGTTTGATCAAGGTTACAACATTCAAGGCCTCAGTAAGCTTTCAAAAAGTTTTATGGTAGACATGTGGAGGACATTTCCAAATTCGACTCATCACTGACAAAAATTATGTTCGTTGCAAGTCCCTATTTTGACGTGTACCATATGTTCCATGTACCAGTTTTTATCAGGTGAATAATTGACTTGCCTTTGCATGTGTTTGTGACGGGTGCCACCGGTAGGGCAGGATACGCGCACCATTTTGCGAACACCTGGTATCATTACTATCTGATATTTATTCATAAACACTCATGATATAGTCGGAATCGTACAATCGACTCTACTTCACGCACAGACTTCTATTGGATACGGAAAGGGTTTTTGTCATTTTAAATATAAATATTGAAAAGGTTTTGTCGTTTTTATTATTCATGTATAGAATATACTCAATGTAAACGCCGCAGACTCAGATATTAATTATACTATTATTCCCTCTGTAACTCGTATGAATGCTTTACAGGAAGTGCCAATTTTGACCAGGTGCTGACAGTGCTGCTGTCGACACCCATGTTTGTTGCCGGATTCACTGGCTGCTTCCTGGATAACCTTGTGCCAGGTACACTCACATTGGATAAGTATCTATTCTTCCATCATCATTTATCGCAATTCTCCATCATCAAGTTTGTTTCACCAAAGTCGTTAAGGTCTAAAACCTGCACCGATTGAGCTTTCTCTCCACACTAAGCAATAACAATGTGAATAGCAATGAGAGGCATTCAAAGTAGGAGAAGAAAAGCAATAACACGTTTTTTTCTTTCGTTTACTTTTATTATTTCATCCGTACGACAATATGTATAAGAAACTATATCCTTCCAATTTTACTTCTATTAACTTTTTTATTCGTATTACCATAACCGATTCCACATCTCAGAAAAAAATAACCAAGACAATGAGGTCATGAGTGCATTGCCATTGGCTTCTTTGTGAAAAGCACTTTGATGGTATACGTAAACATATTCTTATTATCAATAAATAATGATGCTAATGACCTTTATTTATTGATTTATACGAAGGCACCGAAGAGGAGCGAGGCATTACGAAATGGCGTTTGAGTAAGGAAGGGTCTGGCGACTATTACATAACAGGCGAAGATACATACGAGTTTCCCTATGTCACTCAGTTCATCAGAAGGATAAAATGTTGTGGTTACTTCCCTATGTCTCCTACATTTGACAAGGAATTCAGCTGCGGTTGTTGTTGTAAGAAAAGGTCAAATAGTTCTTCATATGCTGTAGACAATCCCGTTGCGATGGGAAATATAGAGAAACTGTAGCCATGCACATGTCAGAGCATCTACGTTTCAGTTTAACACAAACCCAAACATTTGCTTCGAACGTTACAGTTTTTAGCGAAATCGTCCATGAAACAATTGCAAATTCACAAGTACACTACCTCTAGCAATCGGTTGAAATTCAAGAATGCAATGTGGCAGCTCGATAATTTAGCTTGTTTTCGTAGCAATGTATTTGTTTTGTCAAGCAAAGTTTCTAAACGAAACGTAATGTTCAATGACACATATGCTGATATTGACTTTATTCGCCACGACAATAATCCAGCGATGGAAGCTTTAATCATCTGGAATCTTCATCTGATTGTTCGAGAGAAGGGATGTGAAATGGTTCATTCTACTTATTCAAGAATGCATTGGAATTAAAGAGACAACACTGTTTCCATATTCAGAGGAAATCTGTGCCAAAAACAGAGTCGTTTGTACGATTCCGAAACTGCAAACTTCTTTCCTTCTTCCTTTAACTCTCATAATAAGCCCGTCCAGTAACACACCCACAAAGGCTAACACAATGCATACTTAAAACCTCATCTGAGGTTGGGATTCTCGTGGAACGGACCTATTCAAAGTGATTTAGAGGCTGGCCTTGGACTTATCCTAACACCGGTGTTCTACTATGAAAGCAACCATGTATCGTGAGGGCAATTGGATTCAGATTCACTTTATTCAGAATTCCAGGCCATCTAACTCATAGTGCATTACAGTTAGCTAAAATATAGTTTATGTAGGGAATGGCTTTTGGGTACTTTTACATATACCACTTTTTTATAGGCATAGCTTGCTTTTAATAAACTTGAGCACATAAGAAAATGGTTTGAGTTTTCATGAAGGTGTGACTACCTGTAAATGTGTAAAGTCAGGCCTGTTGTTCATAACAGCTAGCTACTTGAGGTGAGGTGAGGTGAAATTAGGTTTAACGTCGCGTCCAAGATTATTGCACTTATATAGCGACGTGCATGCACGTGTTTGTGTCTGTCTGTGTGGCTGCTTGTACCAGTTCGGACTTTTGTGCTATAGCCCACTGAGATACCCTGCCGCAGTTTAACATGAATTCCCCACTCAGACACAGTATACTGACTCCGAGCCGACCAGTCCTTGTTTTAGCACCTTAATGCAGAGCGCCAGACAGGGTAACAATAGGTACCATCTTTTAAGGTCTTTTGGTATGACGCGGGCGGTGATCGAACTCAGGACCTTCCGCTCTCCGGGCGGACGCTCTACGGAGGCAGTCTCTAGCTACATGAAGTCTAAAGATATTGTATGTAGATATTTTACTATGTATAAGCTGCAAGTGAAAAACACATAAAACACACCTAGAGCCGGGCTGAAAACAACATCATTTTTCCACAGTTAACAGAAACCTCGGTTAAAACAAAATCTGTTGTACGATTATCATGACCATGTGTCTACGAATCACTATCAAGTAATGATGAAAAAGCTATTCGCTAAAAGATGAGTTTATTCACACCTACCTGTGGCACCCGTCACAGACACATGCAAAGGCAAGTCAAGCGTTCACCTAAAAAAAACGAATTAGAAACGTTGCACAAAACGTTGTGCAAATGTGGTGCAATAATGTTGTCCCAATAGTACTGACCTGTGACTCTGCCATGGATACAATGGCGCGCTGTTCGGTCAGTCATTGTGATATCATACCATTACCATAATGGACCCACCCCAAAACAATAACGCTTTACGACGTTAACATCCATATATCGCTCATTTGGGACGTCTCCAAACTCGATTCATTAAGTGCGAGTGAGTGAGCGAGTATGGTTTTACGCCCCTTTTAGCAATATTCCAGCAATATCACGGTGGGGGACACCAGAAATGGACTTCACACATTGTACCCATGTCGGGAATCGAACTCGGATCTTCCGCGTGACGAGCAAACGCTTTAACCACTAGGCTACCCGACCGCCCCAAGTCGAGAGTGAACATCGATTACTCAGAAAACCAGACCCAACGTCGATTATCCCAGTGCTGACGTTCCCTACACCTCTGGCGCCACTGATTACAAAAGACATGCAGCAAGTTGTGGGGTGACACGTGGACGTCGTGCACGCATCTGCTATCCGTGCATACGATTTCCAGCGTTTGGACCGTATTGAACTCTTGCCTCTAGCAACCGGTCCCCAATCTCGGTGACAGTTTGCAACTGACTTCTAACTGCCATCGTTCTGACTGATCTGTCCCGGGCTGGAGTTGATGATTTTTGGTCGTTCCGAGCGCCATAATGTCTTTGATGGTTTCGGGACCTCAATCCGCTGATGACATTCAGAGTTTGGGCAAAAATATGCTGACGTGTGCGCAGCTGCAAGATGGGTGGCACTGATCAATAATATTGGTTACTTAATGATTAAATGTGTTTAATAAAGGGTCTTTGAGCATTTGGTTCCAAGAAAACAATGTGCAACCTACAATGGTCAATCTGGCATATCACCCTTGCACATGCTGTCCGAGGTCACGTGATTCATAACTTTCACAATGTTCTGCTGGGAGCTTGATTTCTCTGGAAATGTTCTTGCCACATACATCACTTACTTTCATTGCCAGACTTTTGCGTATGTTCTTATAGTTTCACCTCAAAACAAAATATCCCAAACTTTTTCGGCATTGTATAACACAAAGGACACTGGCCAGCAAATCGAGACAAGAGACGTGCCGATATATGACCTAGTGTCAATAAGACTTCTTCATAATCTTCAACTATTAGTTTGAACACTGAGATTTGTTTCTGAGGCCATCAATACCTATGGGTATTAATAGGATGACACATGCACTCTTCAAAAAAGAAACGCGCAAGTAGATTTTTAGTAAATGTATTGTATCTTATAAAGTCGATATATTTAATTTAATATCATAGATACAAATATGAAATTTTGGAGCTCGACAGTCACATGTTATCGTTGTACTAAGGCATTGAAAACTGTTCATTTTCAAGTCACATGAGGCCACAAGGTAGCCTTTTCTCGTGTATCTCGTGTGGCCGCCCCGGGCAGCAGTCACGGATCTGCATCTCCTTGGCACTGACTGGATAAGTGTACGAATTCTGTCCTGCGGAGTTCTGCGCCATTCTGCTTAAAACGCGTTGGCCAGTTGTGGGAGTGTCTGCGGCGTGTTCTGACGTTGACGTACACGTCGATAGAGTTAATCCCAGGGGGCCGACGGCCAGGGCAAGGCGTTGACGTTGGCTTTATGAGGGAAGTCGACCTTGACAGGAGCTGTGTGCACTGGAGCGTTGTCCTGCTGAAACAGTTCCCTCTGGCGGTCAATGATTGGAAGAAAGTGAGGTTGAAGAATTTGATTCATGTAGCGATGTGCTGTCAAACTTCCCTGAACCCAAACCAAGTCAGATTTCCGGGGTAGGATATAGCCCCCCACCGCCAATGCCATCGCCGCCACCGAAATTGTCGAACTAACGAACACAATGTTGGGCAAAACGCTCATTTCGACGACGATAAACACATTGTCTCCCATCTCGCCGGTAAATAAGAAATCGTGATTCATCGCTAAACAACACTCGTCTCCAGCTTCTCAAATTCCAAGGCTGTAAGGTATGGCACCAACGCAAGCATTGACGTCGATGGATCTGATGCAAAACAGGGACGATAACTGGTCCTCTGGGTCGGATTCCAGCCTCGCGAAGATGGTGCCTGACAGTCTGGTCCGATATCCTCCTCAAACCAGGGATGCGTCCTGCAGCTCCGTAGCTGTGGCATTGCGATGACGTAGGTGGAACAGTCGAATGTGGCGATCCAGTGCAGGGGTTGTAACTCTTGCTTGGCCGGTTCTCGGACGGTCTGCAGTGGAATTGAACGGTGTGTATTGGTCACAAAGGCGGCAAATGGTGTTGTGGTGGATGTTGAAGTGACGTGCAACAGAAGACTGCGATTCCCCTCTTTATACTTTGTAAACGTCACTATTTGAAGTTTGTTGAAAAAAACAATCAAATGATCGGAAATCCCTTAAATTACAACATAGGAATTTATAATTAAAATGTTTTGAACCGACTGTTGTACTGCTTTATCGTCCGTTGATATAGGGGGCATTGATATATTTGCACAGATAGTCTTCAAAGTATACCTGTTCAGAGTACGAACGTGCTATCAGTTCATCCCAAGAGTAGACAGAGGTGGGGCAGGAAAAGGTTACACGTTTAACACATCTCATACCATGAGAAGACACAGATGTTGAACACAGATCATCCCGAGACGAGTAGACGACACATCAGTGGGAGGTTACATGGTTAAAATAGATCATCTCCAAAGAAGACCCAATAAAGATCAAATGAGACTGTGTCAGTTCAACATAGATCATGTCCAAAGAAGACCCAGGCCAGATCGAAGGAGACTGTGTCAGTTAAACACAGATCGTTTCCATAGTAGACCCAGGCCAGATCGAAGGAGACTGTGTCAGTTAAAACACAGATCGTTTCCATAGTAGACCCAGGCCAGATCGAAGGAGACTGTGTCAGTTAAACACAGATCGTTTCCATAGTAGACCCAGGCCAGATCGAAGGAGACTGTGTCAGTTCAACATAGATCATGTCCAAAGAAGACCCAGGCCAGATCGAAGGAGACTGTGTCAGTTAAACACATATCGTTTCCATAGTAGACCCAGGCCAGATCGAAGGAGACTGTGTCAGTTAAAACACAGATCGTTTCCATAGTAGACCCAGGCCAGATCGAAGGAGACTGTGTCAGTTAAAACACAGATCGTTTCCATAGTAGACCCAGGCCAGATCGAAGGAGACTGTGTCAGTTAAACACAGATCTTTTCCATAGTAGACCCAGGGCAGATCGAAGGAGACTGTGTCAGTTAAAACACAGATCGTTTCCATAGTAGACCCAGGGCAGATCGAAGGAGACTGTGTCAGTTAAAACACAGATCGTTTCCATAGTAGACCCAGGCCAGATCGAAGGAGACTGTGTCAGTTAAAACACAGATCGTTTCCATAGTAGACCCAGGCCAGATCGAAGGAGACTGTGTCAGTTAAACACAGATCGTTTCCATAATAGACCCAGGCCAGATCGAAGGAGACTGTGTCAGTTAAACACAGATCGTTTCCATAGTAGACCCAGGCCAGATCGAAGGAGACTGTGTCAGTTCAACATAGATCATGTCCAAAGAAGACCCAGGCCAGATCGAAGGAGACTGTGTCAGTTAAACACATATCGTTTCCATAGTAGACCCAGGCCAGATCGAAGGAGACTGTGTCAGTTAAAACACAGATCGTTTCCATAGTAGACCCAGGCCAGATCGAAGGAGACTGTGTCAGTTAAAACACAGATCGTTTCCATAGTAGACCCAGGCCAGATCGAAGGAGACTGTGTCAGTTAAACACAGATCGTTTCCATAGTAGACCCAGGCCAGATCGAAGGAGACTGTGTCAGTTAAAACACAGATCGTTTCCATAGTAGACCCAGGGCAGATCGAAGGAGACTGTGTCAGTTAAAACACAGATCGTTTCCATAGTAGACCCAGGGCAGATCGAAGGAGACTGTGTCAGTTAAACATATGAGAACGCATGCTGTGTGCTCTCACATACAATTGGGTAGCCTTAGAACATAAAGTTGAGAATATAAATCACAGAGTTGATGGCGAAAGTTCCAGTATTTATTCTTGAGCAGATGTGATGTAGATACATTCAATACACAATTTCAAGTTATTACAATAATAAAGATGTACATAAGATATTGTATAATATTACAGTTTAACATTTACTCAATGAATATTCTCGAGGGAATAAGCTTATAGAGTTGATAATTGATTGTTTTGAGAATTAGCATGGTAGAGTTGACAATGGCGGGAAGATGACTGGCTAGAGTTTACAATATTATTAATAATACTAACAAATAACGATAAATGTGCGGTAACTCAACAATGTTGAAATATGTATAATACATTTAAAATACAACTATTCACAACAAAGTATGACATGCAATTAATGATAATTGTAAGCAGTATTATAAAAATATGAACTGCATTTTATAATTCATTGCAACAACACTGAATAGAACGTTATAAAACACAAACATTCCAAATAATTACTTACATTAAACAACGACAACATAAATACATTATCTGTACTCAGTTCAAGTTAGATATAAACAGAGTTATTTGGTCTAACTTCTTACATTTCTAAACAATAAGTACACATGTGAATAATTTGAACAAGGGAAACAAGCTTACCTTAGAACATAATGTTGAGAATATAAATCACAGAGTTGATGGCGACAGTTCCGGTATTTATTCTTGAGCAGATGTGATACCAAAGGGGCATCTGCTTAGTTTTATATAGTTGAGAGGCCGAGGAGCTGGAACTGCGCCTTTACTTTCCAAAGTATGTAACGCCTATTTTGATTGGATAAGAATTTCTGACCTAAGGCTTGTAATGACTGGCTGATTTCCCAAGTTTTACTAACCTACTGTTTTACATTAACGATTGATAAAGACAAAGCATCTGGTATAATGTTTGCCTTGAGGTAATCCTTTGCCTAAGGGGGATAATTAGAGGTGATGGGTAGGTAGACACTGACGATGATTGAGCTACGCTCACTCATTGACGTTGACGGGTATAGAATCAAAATAGCAGGGGATTATGTTTGGACAATGAGCATGTTGATTTTGTGCCTTATGGGTATGAATTTCGACGGCTTATTGTTTATGTAAGTAGGATGTAAAATGAAAAAGCTTGGCTAACTTTTATTAAGTAATATTAAGCTTATATAAAACATATGGACAGTAAATTAATTAAAATGAAATAAAAGTAGAATTATAGAGGAAGCTAATTTTAAATGTACACGAATTTGGATATACAGGTATATAAGATTAAGTTGGGAATATTTTATTATAATATTAGCTGTAGTTTTGATTAATTGGATTTAAAATAATGTAAGGAACTTTCAGCGAACTGGGACAAATATGTACACGATAACACACAGACCGTCTCCAAAGTACAGCCGGCCTACATCAGAGGAGACTGTGTCACTTCCAGATAGATTGTCTCAAAGGTAGACCCAGCCTAGATCAGAGGATACTGTGTCAGTTCAACAAAGATCGTTTCCATAGTAGACCCAGCCTAGATCAGAGGATACTGTGTCAGTTCAACATAGATCGTCTCCATAGTAGGCCCAGCCTAGATCAGAGGATACTGTGTCAGTTCAACATAGATCGTCTCCATAGTAGACCCAGCCTAGTTCAGAGGAGACTGTGTCAGTTCAACATAGATCGTCTCCATAGTAGGCCCAGCCTAGATCAGAGGATACTGTGTCAGTTCAACATAGATCGTCTCCATAGTAGACCCAGCCTAGATCAGAGGAGACTGTGTCAGTGGGTTGAGGTCGGGGGAGGAGTTCACACTCTCGAGTTCCTCTGTTGTAGTTGACACCGACACAGGCTCCAGACAACATACACTGAAGGACACAGGACAATGGGGGCATGTCAGGTGAAGATACAATGACAGGGGAGACAAGTCGTGCTGCTGATGCATTGAAATAGCCGAATCGCTTTCTGGCTGAAATATGTCAACGTAATAAAATTATGGCATCTTAATAATATGTTTTCTGTCCGGAGTGTACAATTTATGTATAATAGATGTATTATGTCGTTGTTAAGACAGGACTCATTGAACTCACTTACTGTTGTTCACTCCGACACACCTCATTTGCAAGAATTACCAACATCACTCCGACATAGTGATCAGAGTACTCCGTTGTCATCTGCCCGCGAGTACACAGCCCGTGTATTGATGCAAGATGAGTGGGCTGATAGCAGCATATTACAACGGATGCAGAGATAAAGAATTTTATGTCTTTATGTTTTACAATTACAATATGAATTGATTTCGGAACCTCAATGGCTTTTTAAGATGTGACTTATTTATATAGGCCGTCCTACCTGACTGGACTCCATACACTTCAAGTTCACAGAAGTTGAGAGCATCGTATTTGCCTCTGATTTTCGGTTTCCACAGTCTGATGAACCTTCCCAAGACCGGAGCGTCACATGCTATGTTCCCCACGGAACCAAACGTGCCAGTGTAGTTCTTACAGATGGAGAAAGCTGCTGATGGACATCGCGATGGATTTTGTACATACACCTGGATTACAAAGTCATGGAGTCTTTCCCCTGAAAAATAACATTAAACTAATAAACACAACACTATTATTGTGTTTGGCATAAACACATTTAGCTTCAAGCATAATTATACAAAAACAGTGCTTAAGATGAATGCGTATATATGCTTCTGTGATGTGGCACGTCTTACAGTAACTTCGTATATTCAAGCATCTTCAGAAACCATTTGGTCGACTGATACTAATTTGACGATGATAATAATTTGTATGAAAGATGAATTGTGGGTGAAGGTTGACGCAGAGTAGAAGTAGTTTGAGATACCGTAACGTACCACAGCAGTCTCCCCTGTTGTAGATGGTGACGTTGTGGACACTGTACTGCCCCAGGAGATCCACAACAAACCAGGGCGACATGTCACCATTTTTAGTGTGAATGCAGACACCGTTGAAGAGATGGGTACTATGGCTGCCATCCACAGCATTAGCAGCGACATGTGGTTGCCTCACGCTGCTCATCCATGCTGGTTTCTTCAGAGCCAGATTCAAACTTTGGAATTTGCAGACTGAAAATTGAGATTCTAAGTCATATGTGTGTATCGACAATGAATGTATCTGAAAGAACCAAATGTTTTATGTTTTGTAAAATGTGTATTTCCAGCTGTCAGGGGCACACATCTGCAACATTCGCCTTCATGATATTGACAACATGCAGTAGTAACCTCTTTACATTACTTTTCTTTGTGACTTAGGATGTTCATGAGATTACTTTACAAGGGAAAGTGAGTGACATTATTTGAGGAATAACCATTTCCCTGCATTTAAATGCATCGTATCTTTTTCGTAATCTTTAGAAATAACGTCCATAAACAGAGAGGGTATGTTTTGAAGCAGGACATGTGCTCGCCTGAGACTGGTTCTGCTCCAGTATGAGTACCATCTGTGCAGCCTATTATCTTCTCTACTGCCCTGACATGGCTAAAGTCTTACTGATTCGAAGAGAAAGCGTTAGATATCTAAAAAGCTTCTGTCTCTTATTATATGGCTACAAACTTTCAATTGCTGTACAAAATATATCCGAAGTATAGCCTATAAACCTATTACTAACGAATTTAACAAAAAAATAAGACCTCACCATCCAAATATATGACGAGCAGGAAAGAGATCCGGGAGTAGAGGTCTGCCATACTGTCGCTGATCAATTCTATAACCAACACGGCTGATGTGTTTAAGAAACTTAAGACTTGAAAATGACAATGTTCAATATTGATTGAAATCTCCTGACAGTACGTTGGCTCAACAGAACGTCTTTTTGTACCTGTTGGTGGGTTGCTGCAGAAACACCAGTCACAGTGACTTTAGTATCCTGCAGTGTCGTATCGCTGCACCCTGGATGTTCCGGAAGGTTATAACTTAATCATGCTGGTGTTTGTTGTCTGGGGACTGATGCTTCCACAATGATGGATTGTTGTGTTCCATAACTTCGATCGTTAAATGTAATCGATTTCGGTTTAGAAATGTATCCCAAGGGTATACCTACACTTGTACGCTGGCTGTCTTGTACTTGTCCTTCAAAACCCCTCATGAAACAGTTATTGATCTGTTATATACTGACCAACAAAGCAAGGGGTCATGAAGGGGATATGTTTTGGAGTGAAGAACACACATGCAATTTCATAAAGATATCTAAAAAAATATTCACGATCCCTGACATGTTTGGTCAGTATATATCCGTGTCCGGCTAAAGACGTTTCATTTCACAATGAAACACCACAGACAGTACAGATACCGATGTATTGAGAATAGCTCAATCGTTGATGTACCGTTTTCATGTTTATTGCAGAACTGCTGTTCTGCGTCGGGAAATAAAGACTGCGAGTGCTACCGAGAGTGCAGGTCATACTTACCCTGAACACCTGGTGTCATAACTGATTTCATTCACATAATTTTCACCGCTATTTTGCCTTTTACGCCCAAAGGGCCCTTTTTTCAGGTGATCATTGAGACTTGTTATTCTCTGGCGTTGACGTTGTAAGGTTCTACATGCATTACTATGACAATCAGTAATTGTATTTTCACTGGACATAATGCTGAAAGTACTTATCATATTGCTAGATGTTTAATGCTAGGCATTATTCGTGTTAGCAATACAAATAATAATATACCCTTAACTAAATTGTTATCACTCGATTCATGCAGATGTGATGGCGTAGAAGGAATGTTGGCCTATAGCCAAAATGATTTGTTTGCTTGTTAACGCCGCAATCAACAATATTACAGCTATATGACGGCGGTCTGTAAATAGCCGAGTTTGGACCAGACAATCCGGTGATTGATGTCATGAGCATCGATCTATGAAATTGGAATACGATGGAATGCATCAACCACGTCAACGAGCCTCACCACCCGATCCCGTTAGTCGCCTCTTACGACAAGCATAGTCACCTTTTACAACAAGCATGGGTTGCTGAAGACCTATTCTACCCTGGATCTTTACGGGTGTAGCCATAATGACATAAATGCAGACCGAAATGTGTACTTATGAAATGTAACTTCTCCTTATCCTACATAGGCGAAGTATAACATGTGTGTCACAAATAGATTACCGTGGAGTGAGGACGTGCTTATGTTGCCTCTCTCGACCTGAGCGTCCTTGTAAGCTTACAGGGAGCTACAGGTTATATATGATCTTCACTGGACAGTGGAAAGAATATGAAGTTTGCAAATCCTTCAGAGGGTGTGTGATTTATTCTCATTTGGATCTTGGATATATACCATGTGGACCTTACTACATTTGGATCCATCAACCTGAAGGTAACTCACTTTATTTCTATTGTCCGTACTAGCTGAAAGTATGAGCAACACCAGTTCTCCACGATACTCTACACAGGAACCTGACTCTCTGGACTATGGTATCCTAAATGAGTTACGCGACACACTTAGTGGGTATGATAGACAGACATGTGAAACTAAGTTGACTACGATATACAGGGATGAGGAAAACCAACTAAATGACATTCGTTTCTCATTGTATGACATTGCAAAGAGTGAAAAACCTGACTTTCCAGATGGTGTCCTTATAAAGAGGGTGAAAAGAGCCGGCCAGACTAAAAGTGTGCTTATGAAATATGCATCAGATGTGTACCTGCTCTATAGCTATATTACTGGGTCTGTGCCTGCTCATGTTATTCAATCGGAAGTCATGAGTCGACAGAAATCACGTGCTCACGGTAACAAAGTATCTGACGAAAACACTGAGCTTGTGGATGATAAAGACAAAGATGTGCTTGGATGTTTACTCTCAAAACTAATTTGTATGCATGAAGAGATGAATGAACGCTTTACAGTTATCTATGATAAAATGAACGATTTCCAGTCTAAATATGAAGAGGACATGTTTCACATGATTACTACATTAGAAGAAAAGAACAAAGAACTTGTTTTCCTTAAAACTAAAGTTCAAGAGAGTCAATCCCGCGAGGAAAAACTTAAGCATGGTGTGTTATCACTGAAGGAAGACCTACAACGTAAGAATGTAGATATTAAAGAGCTCCAAGAAACTCAACAATTGATAAACGAACGTCTGCTATAGATGGGAAAATAGATTGTATGAGCACCAGAAGTAAGCTATTGTACTCAGATGCCGTCAAAAGTGCGAATCCTGATGACCTGCGTGTGACATTTGAAAATACAACAACAACCCAAGCAGCAGCTCATTGTCCAGCAATTAGTGATGGCGACCCATCTAGATCAACAAACTCAACAATCCGAGACCACAGACAAAAGCCAAACAATGTGAAACACTCGCGACAAGAAATATCACGTGGCCACACGAACAATGAACCGTCCCTTACTATTACATGCGAAAGCCCCAGTGAAGAAAATCATGCAAGCCAATCAAGAACAGTCCAGCTGAACGATCAGTGGAAAAAAGCCTTCTCTGGGGCCTCTCGCTTTAAACAAAAGTGGCTTGTTCTGTCTTATGTAAAAGCTGACATGCCCTTTGAAATTGTACAAGACGCGATCAAGGACTATGCAACACAGCGTGGTGTTACAATTAGCTATATGAAGCTCCTTAAGCATTGGGAAGGCCGAAATCCAACTTACACAATACGTGTAAATATGCCAACACAATGTGCAAAGGCAATATTGGCCGATGAAACGTTCTGGCCTGAAAATGTTAACTGCAGAGAATGGGTACCAAAAAGTTCTTGGTATACATATGACAACTCAGGAGCCGAGAATGAAAAGCTATACTAATAATAAACATTATACATAGTGCACTGTTACTACTCGGTATGCTTCGAATAGCAACTTGGAACATACGAGGCATTATGCACGGTACACATCAGTTATGTACCAGACTAGACAGCACAGATCTATTCTTTGTGACTGAACATTGGTTAAGTGAACAAAATGCCTCCCTTATGAACACTATACATGATGATTTTGATGTTTACTATAAATGCAGCTGTACCAGTACTTCTCAGCGTGGGTCAGGTGGTATAGCAACCTTCATACGTAAAGGCGATTGGTGTAGGGTATCCGTAATCAATACATCACAAAGCCAAAATGTAATCGGTGTAAGTCTACAAATAGGTAGTAACACATTATATGTGATAGGAACGAGATTACCTTCCACTAACATCTTAGACAGTGTATACTTTGAACAGCTGGATTATGTGATGGAATTGTAATGACTGTCCTAAAAAAACATATGGTGGATATAAGCTCAATTGGAAGAAAGCGTGTGATACTGATCTTATGCTGTATCGCTATGAAACTGAAAATTACTTTCGTGAAGACATATGCAAGTTGTCCCAATTCCAATCCCACAATGAATATATTGAAACGTATAATAAGTACATTACAGATGCCCTCCATGCATCTACTGCAGTAAGTATCCCATCAACAAAGTTTAAACCCTACCTCAAACCCTACTGGAAAAAAGACAACCTGAAGTTATTACATGATGAAATGCGCAGTAAAATACGACATTGGCAAGAGAATGGCAGGTCACATGCTAAGAACGATGAGAACTTTGTTAAATATAAAGAAGCAAAGCGTAGTTTTAGAAGACAGCATCGCAGATCCAAACAATCGCTCATAGATAGCAGACTGAAAGAACTTTATGAGGCAGCTGAAATAGATGTACATGAATACTCTAAAACTGCAAAACGATATCACAAAACTAAGGACCAAGTCCACAAACTTCTTTATAAATGTAACCAAAGTAGTAACGCGGAAGGTATTTGTGGAATCTTTGGTAAATACTTTCGAGACTTGTCAATCCCAACCATGGAAAGTCATTTTGACTGCTCTTTTGCTGATGAAGTAATATTCTCAGTCAGAAATATTGAAAACAACGAAACATCTGATGCTGATACCGATGTAACTGCTAACCATCCATTGAAGAGACCATTCACCATTGCAGAGGTAGTGAGTACAGTTAAAGGACTGAAAAACAATAAATCTCCAGGACCTGATGGGCTCACAAACGAACATATTAAGTATGCGGGAAGATCTTTATTAAAGCATATTATGGTATTATTCAATGCTATTATTAAACATGAATATATACCCAAAATGTATCATATTGGCGAAATCTTACCAGTATATAAGGGACGAGGAAAAAGTAAAAGTGATCCATCTAACTACAGGGGCATAACACTAACTTCAGTCCTAAGTAAGCTTTTCGAAAGAATGCTTCTCAACAGAATCGAAAAATGGACAAGCGACGATGTAACCTTCCCTCACCCACTACAGTTTGGATTTAGAAAAAATGCTGGTGCTGAAACGGCGGCTCTCACTCTTCTAGAAAGTATTTCATACTTTAACGAAAGAAACTCACCAGTTTATTGTGCCTTCCTCGATAACGAGAAAGCCTTCGATCGTGTTTGGCTTGACGGTCTCTTCTACAAATTACATAAATTTGGTATCAATGGTAAATTATGGAGAATTCTACGTTTGTCCTACAATTCTATGTACTCATGTGTTAGCTTTGTTGGCTTCAAATCTGATGTTTTCCCTGTTAAACAGGGTGTAGGTCAGGGTCGTGTCATATCAGCATGGCTCTTTACTCTTTATATAAACGATTTGCTTCATGAACTAAGCAATTCCGGTTGTGGACTATGTCTCCCATGGGGACGATGCCCAGGAATACTGTTAGCAGACGACACGACCTTGATCAGCTGTAACACAA